GGCGCCGGAAACAATAGAATCCCCCTGGACCATGATACCAAGACAATGGGATGTACATAAAGTAATGCGAAGGTTTATTGCGCATTACGACGTAGAGATTTTAGAGTATATATTACTGTTTTGAAAGTACCATTTAATTCATTCGAACGTTGAAACATATTGACGTTAAGTATTTATAACTGACCATCACTACAGTAAATAGACAATTTATAACATTATTGAATTCTTTGAAATTATATTTTTGTTAACTCAAAAAATATCATTAAATACAATTCAATGTTAATATTAATTATTTGTTTTTGCATAATGTAATTACTTAGAAAATAAAAATTTAAGTAGGTTCATCAAAACACTGTAGAATTCTCCTCGAAATATGTTACCTCTAAATTGTCTAGAATAATAACTTAATACAGACGTAAGGCTTTAGTGTATGAATGGTTACGCGTGATGTATTGTAGTGAGACTGTAGGATACTTGTATCATACAACGTATCTTTTCTTAAACATAATTGTGATTTCCAAGTTAGTGCTATTCATTGTTTCTTCACCATATTTTCCTCCGAGATGCCGAGACACCAGGGAACGAATAGTGAACAGTGACATTTTGTGAGTATACCGCGCTATGGTCTTATTAACGGAACAATTGTGATGATAACATTAACACTCTGAACGTAGTACCTTTTAGCTTATTTTACCTAATCATATACAGCAAACATTTTTAATGATAAAATAGTGTCGCACGTATAAAACAACGATTATGCCTAGCAATTCATATTTAAAATGTCGCAATGTCGTACCTCAATGTATCATCATGAAATACCCTTTTTTGACCCATTTTAGAATTCCCTCTCACTTAGGAAATCACATCATTGTTCACCCTCAATGGTAATTTTAGCTTCTAGTTTAAAATATGGCACAACATTATATATATATATATATATATATATATATATATATATATATATATATATATATATATCCTTATATTGTGCTGCTGATTTTGCAGCTGAAAAGCATTTACGACTTTCTTTCGAAAATTAGCAGTATATTTATAACATAATCAAATTAGTATTTTTAAATAGATGCTTTCAACAAATACGTATTAATTGACATGCACCTTTTGAAAAATGTTGTATTTTATCCAAACTTCGGAATTTTGTTGGACGGAATTGTTATTGTGAAATAATATTTTTTCCAAAAAGAATACAAATTTTCTCAGATATGTCTCTATCCAGGCGATGTAGCGTAGATTTGTGTAATGTGGTTAAAATATATGAACAGTGAATATTGATAAATAACCATTGTAATTGTTGATAAAATGAAATTAAATTTGAGAAAATGAAATAAAAACATCGTTAGTCTATTCTGTCATCCAGAAATTTAACTAGCACTGGAATAGGAACATTATTTTTGCTGTTTAAACATCCAAAATGTTAACTGCTTCACCACAACACGCTTGACACTGTAATTTTATGATCCTAGTAAAAACCTCCAAGAGGCGTCATTACTTTCATGTCAAGTCTGTTTGTTCATGTCAAGAGATTAAAAAAAGAGAGACTGTACCAGATACTGCGTCATTTGTGACGCAGTATCTGGTACAGCTGCCGCAAGCGAGTACTATTACACATAACTACTTGAATAAAAATTGACCTTTTTAATATTTACACAATGCTTTTCAAAAGATAATGAAATCTTATTGGGAGGTCTGATTTATGACAGGCAGGATAACAAATATGAGTAGGCCTAAACCGGAAGGTAGTCCTGATGTTTAATAAATAGGGACACATCGCGCAATAGGGGACAATGTAGCAATCCGATCAACTGCGTAGGTCCATCTGTTACGGTTAAATCTCTTCATATGGGACAAATGACGTGTGATTCGAAGCATTGCGGACTTGTGAGAACAATATTTTTTTTATTATTTCCAGTTTAAGAAACTTCATTACAAACATGTTTTTGGTAATATTAAACACCGAAAACACATTCCGAGGTTGGAGGTACGGCAGCTGCCGTGATGAAAATTAAGCTCACTCGATTCTTCTTAAGAATACGAATACATTGGCTCTTTTTAGAGCAAATCCTTGGAATATTCCGAAATAATTCTAAAAATTACGCACTTGAGGGTTTTTAAGACACTTACAGAGGTGAAAGTCTGTGAATTACGAACCTGCTTTTCCAGCACAACGTGAATTGTAACATCATTCGTCAGATTGACGGTACTTAAAGCTAATTTTGTAATGAAACTTACAATTTTTAATTAAATTATTTCTAACGATACTTTAGTTATTTATTTACGTCATAAATTGTAAAAAAAACTGAGTGTGATGTGCGATGAGAAGAAGTTATTTTGAAGTTACATTAACGTTACATTTATGTCCAAAAGCAAAACAAGAGGCTTTCTTAGAACTTGCTTAAGGATCAGGGAAACCTGACGAAAACCTGATAGAGGTAGAGGTCACTGACCCACAAGCTGAAGTACAATACTTATTACAGGTTATTTACATTTTTTTAGAACTTCCGAATCCAACTTTCTTCGATTATGAATTCACGAGCCTGGCAATTGAATCATTTCAAAAATTACTTTTTTATTATGACTACACAGCGTAAACATAGATTTTTCAACAAAAAAATCCCGCCGGAGGCACACTAAGATAACGCACACATGCCCGGAACTAATGCCCAATCCAGGTTATAAACCGGAAACTAAGAATGCAACATCGATGCCGATGTTGTTAAAATATCGATGTTTCTAAAAAAATATTGATGATTTAAGTATGAAGCTGATGTTTTTTTGTGAATCGATGTTTTGTGCTCGATACTTTTTACGTTTTGTTCGTAGATGAAGAATTTTCATTACCACAAATTTGAAAATGTTAAAATATGAAATAATAACTTGTGGTACCACATGTATTCGAACCTCCATTGAGCAGACTATCCCTCGCGAGATTATTCTGATGTTCTGGTTTTTCCTTCATATTTTCTCGTATTCCGCACACACAGACATTTGTAACCGTTTCAGTTACATTTTAATTACGAATTAATATATACGGCACTTTAAAATTAAATTTTGTCGCTCACGACTTTAATGTTAAAGTTTACAACGCCTACTTTAAATCATCAATATTTAAAAACATAGATGTTTTTTGGACGATATATTATCAATATAAATACTTTAATCTTGGACATCGATGTTTCGCAACATCTCTATTTTGTTGTCAATGTTGCATTACTACCGAAACACAAGAATTTCCGTCAAGATACGATCCGAATTCAAGTTATGTGTGTGCTGACTTGACGCGTGAACCCATTTCACACTCATTTTCGCCACAAAAATAAGCGGTGATTCATTAAAAATTGTGACAGTTAATTAGCTATGAATAATTTAAAGGTATCCGTCGAGGTATGTCCCGAATTGAACGTAAGTGTGCAAATTTAACGTGAGCTGGCTTGACGCATCAACCCAGCTCACACCCATTTGCGCCACGAAAATCCGTGGCAAATAATTCAAAATTGTCGTAATTAATTTGCAATAAACCATTAGACATGTTTCATTCCGGTGTACGGACATGCTAATCCAAGTCCACAGTGCACACGATCTCAAGTCAACTCTGACGTCATGCAAGTACCCCATGCACACGGACGCCTATTGGCGAGCGTGCGGTGCGGCGGGCGAGACTCACCGCCTCGCTGCAGTCGGTGTTGAGCAGGAAGACGGCGCAGCGCTCGCACTTGAGCAGGTCGCGGGCCTCCGTCATGATGCGCGTCACCAGGCACTGCAGGTTGTTCTGCTCCTCGAAGATGCTGCGCGCCAGGTTGAGCAGGATCTGTGCATCGCCGCGCGCGCAAGCGATGCATCGGATGCTACAGGACGCGACGATTTGAGCTGGTTCATTTGAATTAATTACGCACAAAATGGTAAAAGTTATCCAACACGTGGGGAAGTATGATCTGTACACGTTTTCATGAGCTCTAAAACACATCGTAACTCTTTAGTAAACAGTTAATTCTTGTTACTCTTACTTTAAACCTCGCGGCGACACTAAAAACAGTAGATTCTAGGAGACCGTTGAAACCTACAAGAACACAAGTATCCTTTCACAATATGCAATAAATTGTAATTATTCCATCTTATCTGTATATAAGTGGAGCAGCATAAATGTTACAAACTCATAGGGTGTAATGAGATGTGGAAAATTATCACTTTTCGCCAATTAAGGAAGTTATACATTTGGCATGTACCCCTAATTCTCAGGCAACTTCTTATGCTCAGCTGTTTGGCAGGTAATGTTCGGACGCTGACAAGGAGCTTTTATCGACTTGCTTAAAATTGCATATATGGGGTTGCTTAATAATGAGGTATAAATGTTACATATGTATGTGAATTAGTGCATGTAACTCCGTCATATGTAATATTCACTGGCAAAATGTGATCATTTTCGACTCATTTTCAAGAACTACAAGTTTATAACATTTATTTCGAGACATTCTGTATAATACCTTAAAGATAGATGTCGGGTTTGTACCAACTATCGAGAAATCATCGACAAAAAACCGCGTAAATGTGCTACTAATGGTCAGAAAATAAATATGAGTTCTTCAAACACGTTCAATACGAAAAAATAGAAATTCCCGGATAATATGGGCAACAGTAGCCAGACTCGTTAGTCGTAACACCTTACGTAGGAACATATCGTGCATAGCTCTGAAACAATGTGGTGCCAGGCCCTTAAAAACAGGTTTTCTTGGCCCTAAGTCACCCACCTTATGCATCTTAGTAACAGAAAAAATTAGACGTTTAGGACGTTCTACTTCATCCTCTAATCCATAGCAAGAATTGTCTGAAACATTCCAAGATGGGTTCCAGTATGAAGGCATTATTTAACATTTACAACAATGCTGAAAGACAAATGAGTGGAATGTTTGCATGGATCTACCTGATTGCGATACTAAACTACAAAACTGGAATATTTAGGAGATATGGAGACATTGTTTTCACCAATTTATATTTCCAAATATTGTCTACATTTTGGTCTAAGTAATGAAAGAGTTAATGCAGGGAATTATTTATGTTTCCTGAAGTTATATTTGATTAATGTTGGTCCTAAACTTAAATATTCCCCTCGCATATAATTGAAACGATTGTATATATTTGCTTAGTCTGTAATAGGTTGGTAGGCACTGCAATCGAAACCATTTTATTACACAGTACACCGAATGGGATTTTCAATAATTATTTGACAAATTTTAGTTCAATTGATTTTGATAATCGATAAAATGCTACAGAAGATAATAATTGATAAATTGCTATAAAGGGTAAATAGCAATGTTGGTACATCACCAACATACATTAGATGAGGAATAGTACGGATTGTTTCGTATTTTTATATTATCAACCATTAGAGCAATTTATTCCATTGGTATAAAGATACCCGCAAGTAATTTAAGTCCAAAGTTAATGATAATTCATGTGTTTTAATTACGAGACAAATTTGCAAAACAAAATGAAACAAGCAATTTACCTCTTCGCCCAAGAAATTCTTAGTAGTTGAAAGTTCTAAACCTTGTATGTACCTCGTAGTATCTCATTCGGCGTTGCAACGTAAACAAACGTAACGAGCATCGAAATACGCCCTAATTTGCATTCTACCAACTGCCAGGCGGAGGGCGAGGCCGAAAGAGCCCTCGAGCGCTCGGAAAGTCCGAGGCAGCAGTCAAGTGCAGCGAGAGGCCGAAGGGGGTGAGAGGCGACGGGCACTTTCACAGAACGCTAAAAACACACAATGTCGAAGCGCCATCGTGAGCAGTTCACTCAGCATTTTACTGAACTTCCAAAATGGTGGCAGTCACTTAAAACATTGTAGATATCTCCATACTTTCCTTTATTCAACTAAAGAGTTGTACGAATGTAATGCACAGACGAAAAAATACGTATTTAATTTGAGATGTGAAAGAATTATTTCTCCAATACTAAAACTGGAGTATTCTTTCTAATATTATTATTATTATTATTATTATTATTATTATAGTATTAGAAAGACAATAGAGAACACCAGCAGCGAAGTATCTAAAATTTACAGTTTACCTGATTGCGCCGGAACTCCAGCACAGACATTTCAAAGAGTTGCGCATTTTGAATGCCTATGCCGCAAAAGGTGAGGTAGCGTTGGAAAACCTGAAACATAAAACGTATTTTTATATCCGGGTATCTGTTAATGCGATGTATATATCAAATTGAAAGATCAACGTCGTTTGAAACTTGTTTTCTACACAACCTGTGTTTACATAGTGCGAGTATTCTCGTTATTTATTATTTGATATTCTTAATGCACAATGAAATGGTAAGCTCAACCTACAATCATAAAAACTCATGCTACAATCAGTAGTCATTATTTGTAATTAAATAGTGACAGTGTTTTGAGAGCAATTATAAATACAATGGTTGGTCGAAAGTATTCATAAAATACATGAATAAAATTGAATACAATGAACTTCTCTGTTCCATCAATTTCCCACCATCCGCAGCTTAGAAATAAACAAAACAACAACAACAGAGGAGCATCACTCAATTCGAAGAAGATCACAGGCCGCCTCGCCTCTTCACGTCCCACCTCATTCGAGTTCTCACATTAAAATACAACGGCATAAAGCACCTGTGACGACACGTTATAAAGCTCCGAAACGAAGTCATTCAGATCCTCATTTCATATTCTACATCTCCAGAGAAGCCTTGCTACGTCATTTACATCAAGCATTTCCGTAATCCAAGGAAAGTTTCAAGCTCGAGTGGGGGATATAACCGCAGATTACGTCTACAAAAGTGAAAAAAAGATTGCGTATCCTGAATGTCATTTCCATCCTCCCCGCTCCACCTGCCTGTTCTCAGGGCGAGGAGATCCCCTTATCGCGGAGAGCACTTACGAGGAGGAACTTCGCCGCGGATCGACCGAGGGCGAAATGCAATTATGGGCGGCGCCGGGGCTCTCAGGCGCGGATCTGCCGGCGGGCACCCCGCGCGGACGTTGCCTGCTCCCGCCCCCGCACCGCCATACTACCCCGCGTCGCCCCGCGGCGCCCGCCTCGGCCCCGCGTCGCCCGCGTCGCCCGCTGCCCGCGGTCGCCCCGCCTCGCCCCGCTCGCCCCCGCGCTCGCCCCGCCTCTGCCCCGCTCGCCACCGCCTCGCCCCGCCTCGCGCCTCGGCCCCGCCTCGCCCCGCCTCGCCCGCTCGCCCGCTCGCCCGCCTCGCCCCGCTCGCCCGCCTCCGCCCCGCCGCCCGCCCGGCCTCGCCCGCCCCCGCCCCCGCCCGCCTCGCCCCGCGCTCGCCCCGCCTGCCCCGCCTCCGCCCCGCTCGCCGCCTCGCCGCTCCCGCACCCTACACCTCATCCCTCTCGGCCGGCAACCTAACCACTGGAAAACAACTGTCTTATTTCCCCGTTGTTTTCGTCGACACGCTTCTAGGAGACAACGCTACTCCAGGAGAATGAAAGGGTATCAACTTCAAACTCCGCCACGAACCTTTTCCCTTATTCCCACTCTATATTTAAAAACAGTAACCCCCTACAATTGCTAAACGGGAGATCCTAGGTTCAGGTCCCAACAGTTACAAGATTTTCGACACTAGCTTATAAGCTAGGTCGCGTTCAGGCACTGTCTGGCGAAGAATTCTACAGGCTGGCTGCTTGGATCGGTAGTTTGTCGTGGTTTCTCCAGTCAACACCTAGAACCCTAAACGGGCCACGGACCGCGCGCGATCTTTCCTTGCTTCTCCTTATCCTATTCTCACTCCTTACACTACCATGCACTACACATAGCTTAGAGCTTGTCGCGACTAGGGCGTTGCCCCGCTGGTGCGAGGTTCCTTGTTAGGGGAACCCCCTTTAGCCGACTGTATGGACGGATCTGGCCACCAAGCGGGGAAGATCACCGCCAACGCGCGAGGAATAAACAAGCATTACACTTACAGGAATAATGACCTCAATAGTTGACGCGACCGGAATCACCAACAGCGAACGAATCCTATAATGGCAGGATCAACATCTTCAACCTCTTCATCTCCACTCCGTTTGCCCCCTCCCTCTTCCAGCACGCCGACAATCCTAGCTTTGGAAAAAATTAAACTGGCTCTCTTTCAACCTTTTTATTCTAAACGTGACACTGATGAACACGCAGAGAAAACAAACGACAGCGTTTCCAATTTTAACACCTTCACAACTTAACCCCAGTTCTCTTATCTACCTCACAACTCTCCCCACCTACAACCTTAGCCTCCAACAAACAACCCATCGCCTTCCATACGTCATTGGTTTTATCGTTGTCATTGGTAATACTCTGCCCAGGCGAACGACGGAGTGTACAACTACCACCTTTTCACCACCACCGTCCCACAATACTTACAACCTGACAAGCTACGACCATTGTTTCCTGTCACCTGCACTGAACTGACCTCTCATGCCACCGATATTTATGAAATAAGAGTGGTATCTCAACATCCACCTCGTTTCCATCCTCGTCGCCGGTTAGAACACCGCGCAAGGAAACGACAAAGACCTGTGTCTCCATTTCTCCTACTGCTCTGCTGTCGCATCCCAAACATTTGGCCCACATTCTAGCCTCAATTCGGCTATCACCACCATTGCCCACGTCGAACACGCCCTTCTCCTGCCGATCTTCACCAGCCCCCGAACCAAAATCTTCTTTTCTCCATACCCGTGTTTTCGACACAGCACAGTCGAATGACAGGATTTTCTGACGTCCTTCCCCTCCGATCCCGTTATTTTGCCATCTTCGTCGCCCCTTTTGCTCCCCCTGTTCCTCTGTTCCTTCACACTCGCCACAATCGTTAAAAACTCCCCTTTCTCGCATCGTCGTCATACAGCAGCTCTCGGAACAACGGCATTCTCTTGCTAGCCCTACAATTTTGATCATTCTGAAGAGTTATGCCCCGTCTCACCCGCCACCACGCCGTCTCTATTGTGCGTGGCTTCACCACTTGCACAACCGCGTTCCCTTCACTCCGTTTCTCGCTGTTCATTCGCACTTATACCGTTCTCTCGATGCCCTGATTCTCAGCCCCGGAAAGACTCGGCTTCATCCTTACTCGATTTCATTCCCGGTGACATCACGCAGCGTAACGGTCCAGAGATTACACAAACCTTCCTTCCAAACGTAGTGTCAACATCTTATTCTTTCTCGAAAATTATGTGACCGTAACATATTATAACACTAATAAATCCGCAAAAGTGAATGCAAATCTGCAAAATATATTTTTAGGGGAGCTGGTACTTTAAATTTTGTGCAAAGGCAACACGACCTTAGCTCTTTTCTGTTATATCAACAGCGCTGGTTAAGTTCATCGACGCCCCCCACGCGTAAATAAAATTGAATTCTGTAATTTTCGACATTTCAGAATATTTAATTAAAAGCGAACATACGCTTTATTGTTAATATACTTTTATTACATTCATGAAAATAATTTAAAGACAAAATTTGGAAAAGAATTTTTCCAATCACACAAAATTATTCAAAAACAACTTATTTTGAAAAAAGCATTTATATGACATTATTTGAAGATCGCAGTTTAAAAATCAGATTTTATTAATCAAATATTCATTAATGAGTAATGTATGTTTTGGGGGGTTCTACATTTTTTTCCTTTTCGGCTTTTACGAAATGTTAGTAGTTTTAGCGAAAATAGGAACTTTGTCATTTAATAGACATACTTTGATCTATTTGAACAAAATATTTAAATAAATATTTTGGAGCGATTGTTGGGGAGATTTTAAATTGTATTAGGGGCTTTATGTTGAGTGCACAAAAAATTAAAATATACGTATAAAATTAATTCCACCCATTACCTTAAGGTATGAACTTGCTTCTTTATCCAGTGGCTTTCATCACACCCACTAGTGATCAGAAAGAACAGGCGATATGCCCTGTGTTCGCTTTTGAATGTTCTCAATTGCCAATAATCCCATTTTCTTCCTCCTGTGTGCTGATATATTTCCATCGCTCCAACCTCTAAAAGTTGTTAACATCACTGATTTCCATCAACTACCATTTCATTTCCACTCCAGGTCCCTCAGAACTCCTATCCTCCGTGGTTAACACTTTCGTTTTTCAAATCAGACGGGATACTCAGCTGTGAGAGGAAGTGTGTTCTCTCTACAAGATCAGAACTGTGAAGAGACATTAAATGGAACTAACAGTTTTTGTTCTAAATTTGCCTCCAAATTATATACGCGTAATAATGAAAGATTTTGATCTCAATATTAGAGAGCAGCACTTTTAAGAATTCGGCAATCTGACGAATGCAGCTCTCTGTAAGGGGGGAACAATAAGGAATTTAGAATTTACGAAGGTTCCGCCCCCTACAATGTTGTTCAATCTTTCCGTCAGGCACACATACATAAACCTTACTCGTTTCGTCACCGTGATCGGCAATACTGTGTAATCACAGACCGCCTGGCCCAGCATCGCCTCCGGAGCGGACGCGGGCAAGGCTGGGCGATAACTCGGCAAACGAGGCAAGCGGCGGCCCCAGGGCAACGCGACCGCGGAGGCGCCCGGCGAGCCCTCGAGTGCAGCAATGGCATCCGCGCAGGCGAGAGTGGAAACAATCAGGCAGAGCGGTGCGGCAGGGGCGTGCGAGAGGAAGGAAGACAACGCGAAAGGAGGGTTGAGGCGGAGGTAGAGAGAAACGCGATCGGTTGATGGCGTGAGCTCGGTGCATGAAAGACCGACCCGAAAAGGAGGGAGGGGCAACGAGGAGAAAAGCAGAAAGACTGAGTGAGAGGGTGGAGGGCGGGGTGACGGAGAGGGAGGTGATGGGAAAGGCGGGGTCGAAGGCTGGAATGCAGGGACGAAGACGGGAATGAGGTGGTGAGTGAGATGGGTTAATAAGGGTTTTAAGGCGGTGACTAAGACGATGAGTGAGCCGGGTGTGAGGTGGAGAATGAGCGAGGAGTAAGGCGAGGTGTTTGACTGGAACTAGGCGGGGAGTGAGCTAGTAGAGGTGGGGTGTGTGGCGGTGTGTGTGGCTGGGTGTGCGAGCTTAACAAGATCATTTCATACCTTTGATTCAATATTCGTGTTCATGGATGAAATTGTATTATGATGTTCAGTGCAAAATGATTTTACACTGTGGTTAAGCAAACTGAGGGTAGGGTATTCATCGTTGGAGAATATCTGCTCTACTTCATGTCTATTCAGTTTGTACATATACTTTGTAATTGAGCTCAGGCTCTATCTCAGCTGTAAGCACTTGGGGGAGAATGATTTGCTCGGCAGTTAGAAGCGGTGGGAAAGATCAGTTTGCGATGTTCGTCATAGTGTCTCGAAATAACTGTCTTCGCTGATCATATCTGCGCAATGCCTTCCTGTTTTTGAGGGAGGTGACGGGGTCGGACTTCCTTTTGTGTCGAGGCTTCCCTTCAGGATGTTGAATTTAAGATTGACAATTCGCTTTTCAATCGAACATTGTATCGAGAGTGGTTGTCATACAGTACTGAGAGGATAGAGAGCGAGCATGTGTCTTCATGGGTGTAGAGTCTGATAGATGTGCCAAAGTGAAGACAACGGCTTAATATAAAAAGGGAAAGGGAAAGAGAAAGATTATTCACAGGGACGATTTACGCTACATAGCACAGTTATATGGCAGAAGTCGGAGTATTGGACTGTCGTTAGAGGGATCTCGGATGCGGCAGGGTATTAAGGTGAACTCGGTGACCGGTGGTAACAGGGAGTGATGGGGCAAAAGATCTGGTTAGTGAACGCGAGGGTGCGTGCATCCAATGTTGACGGAAGAAGAGGGATGTTGTGCCGGATTTGGTTAAGTGAGAGGTTCGAGCTAGTTTGACGCAGACAAGACGGGAATGGATATAGGTGGTAAGAATGTACGGGAATTGGTGTGGTATGAATTGTCTCGTTTTGGAGATGTCGGTTGCTTACAGATACGTGGTTGTGAGCTCTCGTTGTATGGCGCTGTGTTGGTCTGGGGCATCGAGGCAGGCGTGATGATGTGGTTGTTAAAGGATTGGTGTAATTCGGTCGCAGTCGGGACTCATTAGTTGAAGTTGGACCATTGAGGGAAATGGGTACAGTCTGTACTGGATGTCGCTCCTTAGTGAGGAGTTGGAGTGTGGGTTCCCGTGATTCGCTAGACTCGCGCGTGTAAGGGTGCGGAGCAATATGGGATTGTTTAGGGGAAACGGGGGGTGTGGAAGGCTCCGGGGTTTTGGGTTGGGGGCGGTGTTGTGAGTGGTTGAGTTAGGAGGAGGTTGGGGTGTTGTGGCAGGCGTCTGGGTGGCATTGGGACGTCGGGGGAGATGCGGATAAGTAGAGTCGGCGGGAAGGTGTGTTCGCGGAAGCTCGGCTGGCGGTGGGTTTGGTGGCGCGGGAGTGCTTGGTGAGAGTGTACCGTCGGGGGTGGTGATTTGGCGAATGTAGAGGTGATTAGGCGGTTGTGGCATGTGTGGGGGTTTGTTTATAGCGACGGGTTGTTTTTAGCACAGCACGCAAGGTGCTGGTGGGTGTGTTTGTGAGACGATCGTCGCGTTTTGTTGTATGGAGGGTAGTGAAGCGGGTGTTGCGTTCGTGGTTTAAAGTGACTTGTGGTGGCGCAGGCGGTGGGTTTATAGTTGTCTTGGTGGTTGGTTGAGGATTTTGGTAAGGACGTGTGGTTTCAAGGCGTTGCGTTTTTGTATAACGCGGTGGTGTGGGCCTGGTGCAGGAGGTGTTTCGTGAGGTGAGGAGGAGATGTTTAAGACAGAGGCGTGTGTATGTTGAATTGCTGGGCAGGAGTGTTATGTTGGATAAAAAGGGCTATCGGGGTTGTTAAGCGGGGGTTGGTTGAGGGGCAGGTTTTTGTGAAAACGGGGGTTGGTGAGGCGGGGGTGTTGAGGCGGGGGTGATTTGCGGGGTGTGATGCGGGGGTGTGGAAGCGCGGTGAGGGTGTGGAGGCGGTGTGAAGCGGGGTGTGAGGCGGGTGGTGAGCGAGGGTGTGAAGCGGGGTGAGGCGGGCGTGTGAATGCGAGGGTTGAGGAATGCGGGGTGGTGAGGCGGGGTGTGATTGCGGGTGTGATGCGGGTGAGCGGTGGGAGCGGGGTGTGAGGCGGGGTGAGTGCTGCAGGCGGGTGTGAAGCGGGGTGAGCGTGGTGAGGCGGGTGGGAAGACCCAATAACGTTAATTGCGTGGTTTCTGAGTGTGACGGGGCTGTGAGGCGGGGGAGGTGTGATGCGGGTGATTGGGTGAGGCGGGTGTTATGAACGGTAAGCGGGGTGTAGAGGCGTGAAGCGGGGTGTGGAGGCGGGGTGTGAGACGGGATGGTGAGGCGGGATGTGAGGCGGAGTGGTGAGCGCGGGTGTGAGACGGGGAGTGGGCGGCGAGGTTTGAGGCGGAGGTGGTGCGACGAGCGAGTGGGGAGTGTAGCGAAGAGTGAGACGGAAGAGGGATGCGGAAGGGGCCGGGAGATTTGAATTGAGCGGATTAGAAGCGAGCATGGTACGTGTGGGTGCGCTGGGGGGTCGATATCACTCGGTGAAATGAGGACAATAAGAAGACGCCGCGCAGAATGAGGGAGGGAGGGAGCGCCATCGTAAGGGCGCCTGAGAGGGTTCGAGAGGGTAAGATTCTGCAGACTGAGAGCGTCGTCTCGGTAATGTGGGCTAATGATGGAAGAAAAAGTTTCAAACACTTTTCCAAACGGAGAGAAATTCCTCAAGCTTCTATTGGTATATTCATTTCTCATATAAAAGGAGGATCATAAAAAACAATATGATAAATGTGTAAATATAAATGTTAATGCAGCTACGCTTTAACAAAAATTATGTTAAAAAGTGCAGTGAATTACAAAACTATGAACTGTG